GGCATCAAGGGCCGACAACGCGGACTCGAGCTCCGCCTCGTGCTTGCGCTGCTGCGTCGCCATCGCGTCCTCGTGCCGAGCCATCGTCTCCCCGACGGTGTCTTCGTGCGACTGGGACAGCGACGACTTTTGCTCGGCGAGCGCTGCGGCGTGCTTCTCGGCGAGCTCCTTCTCGCGCGAGTCCATCGCTTTCGCGTGCTCGTCGTCGCGGGCTCGGAGCGCCGACACGAGCGCTGAACTGTGGTCGTGGTCCTTCTCGAGCGCGAGCATCTCGGTGGCCGACGCGAGAGTGGCCGCGTGGCCTTCCTGCATCGACGCGACCTTGCTGTCGTGCTGCGACTGGAGCCCCGCAACCGCCTCGGCGTGGGCCGCGTCCCGGGCCGCGAGCTCGTTCTTGTGACGCTCCGCGAGGCTCGCTTCCAGGTCCTGGCGTTCCTTGGCGTGGGCGTCGTCGCGACTCCTCATGGCGTCGGTCAGCCGCGACGAGTGCTCGCGGTCCTTGTCGACCTCGAGGGTCGCCGTCGCCGACTGGAGGTCGGCCTCGTGCTTGCGCTGCTGGGCCGCGAGCTGTTCCTCGTGTCGCGCGACCGTCTCCTCGACGGCGGCCTCGTGGGTTCGTCGCTGCGCGGCGATGGCGTCCTCGTGCCGGGCCGCCGTCTCCCCGACGGCGGCCTCGTGGGTTCGTCGCTGCGCGGCGATGGCGTCCTCGTGTCGAGACGCGGCCTCGCCCAGGACGTCCTCGTGCGACTTGGACAGCGACGCCTTTTGCTCGGCGAGCGCCGCGGCGTGTCTCTCGACGAGTTCCTTCTCGCGACTCTCCATCGCCGCGGCGTGCTCGTCGTCCCGAGCGCGCAGCGCGGACACGAGCGCTGAACTGTGGTCGTGGTCCTTCTCGAGCGCGAGCATCTCCGTCGCCGACGCGAGCTCGGTATCGTGCTTCGCTCGAAGCACGTCCTGCTGCTGCTGGTGCGCCTGCTGGGCTTGCTCGAGCTCCGCCGCGTGCTTTTCGGCCCGATCTTTCAGCTCGGCCTCGTGCGTGGCGACGAGCTCGTCCTCGCGCGCCTTGAGGGCCGCGGCGAACTCTTGATCCTTCTGCTGGATCGAGGCGTCGTGTTTCTCGACGAGCAGCTGCTGCGCGGCGTCCCCCTCGCTCCGCAGCGAGTCGAGCCGCGCCGCGTGGTCGCGGGCTCGGAGCGATCCGCTCCACTTGGACCACGCGCGGAAGAGCGACGCGTGCTGGAGCCGGTCGAGCGCGCGCGACATGCAGGTGACGCCGTGAATCTTGCTCAGGGACTCCTGGGTGTAGCTCACGGCCTCGTTGAGCGCGTCGGCGTGCTGCCGCTTCTCCCGGGAGCGCTGCTGGTGCTCCCGCGAGTCGGTGCTCCACTGGTGGAACGCCCGAAGGACGCCGAGCTTCGACCGCCGAGACAAGATGCCCGCGGCCAGGCTTGCGCCCGCGTTCTTCCGCGTGTCGTGGAGTTGTTGGCTCACGTCGACGAGCTGAGACGACGCGGCCGATTCCATCTCGAGGAGCCGCTCCGCGTGCGCCTCGTCCTTTTCGATGAGCGTCGCTTTCACCGCGGTGTCGTATTCGAGGGCGGCCTGAGACAGCTCCGCCCGATGTCTCTCCGCCGCGTCCTTGAGCTCTCGCTCGTGAGCGGCGACGATGTCGGCCGTTTCTCGCTCGGTG